TTGCATCTCAAGTCTCCATGAATTCACATGGAGCTGCATGTCATCTTCATCTAGGAATCCATCCACTGGTGGTGTCTCTTCCTTTGCATCTCAAGGTTTTTTCCACTCTATCCTGCTCAACCCATCAGCCCTGTTTTTATTCCCTGGCATATGTTCCAATTGAAAGTCGAACATCCAGACGTACGTGAGCCATCTGGCGATAGTAGGATCCGTGGGTGCGAAATTCTTGAGGGAATATACAAGGGTTGTTGGATCTATTCTTAGGACAAACCTCCTTCCAGAGAGATAGTGCCTAAAGATACGTAGGCAGTGCAATACGGTCAAGGCTTCCTTTTTGAATTGAGAGTAGTTCTCTCAGTAGTATTGAGGGTTCGACTCTCAAAATGCAAAGGTCTTTCTTTCCCTTCCAGATCTGCCTTGATTAGAACGCCTCCCAAAGCTGTGGGTCGAACATCAGTCTCTATGATAAAGGGTCGTTCTGTAACGACTTCATAATCAAGGACCTCCAATACAAGACCTCCTTCTTTAAATTCCTCCTTCTAACTCTTCACCACTTGTTCCTGATTCTCTCCCCATTTTCATTCCTGGTTCTTTCTAACCAGTTTCCTCACATGTTCAGTCTTTGCAGCAAACCGTTCGATAAAAATTCTCCAGAACCCGCACGCCCCAAGAAAACACCTTACTTCGCTAACGTTCCTGAAGGGCGTAGGCCATTTAAGGATCTTATTCGTTTTCTTGGTGTCTGGACGATGTCCTTGCTTGTTGCACACAAAGCCCAATATAGTAGCCTCACTCATGCAATGCCTGGACTGAGCTCCGCTAACCGTAAGATTATATTCCTGTAACAAATCGAGTACCTTTCTGAGATCATTGACATGATCCCAGACAAACTTCCTTACGCCAGGCGCAACCTCTTGCTCATCTTTCACCATAGGGTCTTTTACTGCTAGATCATCGATGTACGGTTCAGTAATCTGTGGACTAATTGACTGTATGACTCTCACCATACTCCTTTGCTTCATGGCTACTGCGTTCGTCCATCCTTGAGGTGCCACGTTCATGTGAATTAATCCCCTCGGAGTGTGCATCGCCGTGATCGGCCTATCTGCCGGATACACTGGGAATTGGTCATAACCGGAGTACGGATCTTTGAGCGAGATAATGGACCTTCCAGCACAGGCTTCAGAGAGTTGGTCAGGGTTAGGGAACCCTCCAACATCCCTAACCGTTACCGCATTCAACCTTTGCAAATCTTGCACCCACCTGAGTACTCCATTTGGCTTGATGAAGCAGAACCATGGTGAGGCATAAGGTCCGCTAGAGAATCCTGCTACGTGAGAACCAATCTTCCCGTCAAGGTATTCTACCACCTTTCTCTGATCATCGGGATTTGGATACCCGACTTCTCTAACATTCCAAGGTTGATGTGAGACTGTGTGAATTCGGATCATCCCTATCTTGTCCACATCTAGTCTTCCCCTCTGCTCATCGTTGAAAGCATAGGCGCTGTGTTTTTCCTTCATTAAGTCAACTACTAACGCTCTCTCTTGCTTGGTTAAGAACTCATGTTCACCAATGATCAGGTCTTTCTCAGTCTCTTCGTTGATACGACAGGATTTAGCTTCCCGTTTTTCTCTCATTTGCCTAATCAATTCTCATTCCTGCTCATAGTATACTCCCTCCTCATGTGTCACTAAGACTGGAACAGGGTGACTTTTTTTGTCTACCGTCTTCTACCTCCTCTTTCCCCCTTGCTTGAGCCCACCCCTAAAAAATGTTGGCCGCATGCTTGAGCATAGGGTCCTTGCGCTTTCTCTTCCCTAGGGGGTGACCTGTACACCAGCTCCATCCTCCCCTCTTCAGGGAAATCATACAACTTATCAGCCAATACTCGAATGACCTCTTGTTCCGCCATATCGTACGCGGATACCATATCTCTAG